CAGAGCTCGGACGAGGCGGCCGATTTCCTCGCCCACGCCGACCTGCAGAAGCGCACCTCCGAGTACCTCATCGACAACTCCCTGCACCTCCACATCATCATCAAACCCGTCTACCACTCCCTCATCAAGGTCAAGAAGTAACGAGGCACAGCTGGGTCCCACCTCCGGACCGGCCCCTGCCTGGAGGTGGATGGGGGTCTCTGCACCAGGGGTGCTCTCTGCCACCCATCCCTTCCAAAATTGTCCTTGTCCCATCCCCATCGCTGGCCCTGGGTGCCTGTGGGGAGCTGGGATGGGGGACACTGGGAGCCCCATAGGGTGATGCAGGTGGCAAAATGTGCAGCCCATGGGTGCAGAGCTCCAAGGGGTGAAGGGATGGGGACGGGGACCCTGTTGTGATGCCACCCTGAGGTCCCTCTGCAGCCAGGCCATGGTGCTGGGTCTGGCTGCCAGCATGGGTGCCCAAATTGGGGTGGGTGGTCCGGCTGCCTCCCCTGTCCCTGTCTGGGTACCCCCCTCTTCCTAATAAAAGCAGAAAATGAGCGTGGGGAGTGTGTGGGTGTCTAGGGATGAACCCCTACAGTGGGAGTGGGGGTCCCCAAACCCCCCAGAATGCCCCAAGAGGGGTCCCACAGGAGGGCTCGCCCCCAGCCCTGGCACATGGGGTGCTCCCCATGCAAAGGCCCCTTTGCTGCTGAGGGTCTCGTTAATAATTAACGGCGGGCGAGCGAGCGGGGCGGCTGCTGGGCGATAGCGCCCGGGCTGTGTTTACCCAGCGCCGATAACCCCGGTGCAGGCACCGCTCGTGGGGATATCGGCAGCGTGGGGGAGTGGGGCTCGGCTCAGCATCACCCCCATCGCCGGGAAGGGACACGGTGCCACACCAGGACCCCGCTGCCACCACCGGCTGCCCCAGTCCTCGGGTTGGGGACACACAGAGGGACATCCCAGGGGTGCTTTGCTGCGGGTGGCAGATGGCTTTGATCCATGGCGTGGTCTGAGGAGGGGAGACGGGGAGGATGTGACTGTCCCAGCCTCTGCTCAACCCTGCCGTGACAAAACGGGAGCTGTGATGTGGAAAACTCCTGTTTATTCACCCAGAAGAAAAAATAATCACCAGGGGGGCGGCTGTGAGCACGGCGGGGGTTTCTGTGGAGCCACCGGTCCCATCTTGGCTACGGCTCCTGTGGAGGGAGCAGTTGTGGGGTCAGGGAGCTGTGGGGGAGTCCCCACTCACCACCCCACATTGGCTGAGACCCCATGGGGCCAGCAGCCCCATCCCTGTGTGAGCCACGGGGCAGCGAGCCTGGCAAGGAGGGGAAGCAACGTGGAGAGCTCTGACCTTCGCAGCATCCTCCTCCTTCTTCTCCTCTTCCTTCTCCTCCTCATCCTACTCATCCTTGTCCTTCTCCTTCTTCTGGTCCTGCTCCTGGTCCAGCTGCCTCTCTTCATCCTGCGCAGCCGCCTCCTCTCCCGCTCGCTCCTTCCCCTGAAAGGCAGAGGCTGAGCCACATCCCCTACCCCACGGCAGGGACCCCCTGTACCGGTGCCATGCCCTGTACCTTGACATGCAGGCGCCGGGCCTCAGCCTGCGTCCTCAGCAGCTCCTCCTGGATGATCTCGGTGAAGTCCTTGCGGGTGCGCTCCAGCACCGCCTCGGGAGCCCACTCTGTGTTCTCCTTCACCTCCGTACCCTGGCTCTCCAGCTTGGCGCGCTCCTTCAGCCGCATCTCCCGGTGCCGGGCCTCCAGGACCTTCTCCCGCCTCGTCTCCCGCTCGAACATCTAGGGCAGAGTTTGGGGCTGAGGGGCGCAGGGGACCCCACGGGACAGCACAGGGCACACAGCGACCCGCGGCTGCACACGTACAGCGTTGACCAGGGCCTTCTCGTTCTTCTGGAGGGTGCAGAACCCGGAGGAGATTTCCAGCACGGTGACCGTGCCCAGCTTGGAGCCGCAGCCCACGACGCTGCCGTTGTCCTGCAGGCGCAGGCAGGAGAGGGGCTCGTCGCAAACCTGGGGAGGGAGGACGGACAAGTGTGGCATCAGCCCATGGGGGAAGCAGGGCAGGACAAGTGACGGGGGCAGATCCACACCTTGCTCTATAACAGGAGCCTACGTGCAAATTTTTGGGCGTGCTGGGCTCCAGCACAGCTCAGGGCTGAGTGGACAGCTTCTTATCCCGAGCTCCACGCAGGTAGGATCCCATTCCCTGGCTCTGTTGGCTCCGTGCAGGGAAAGGCAGCGGATCCGGTAGCCCCCATCCCCTCCCAGGGACC